TACCCGCGCGGCACGTGCGGCACGTGCGGCACGTGCGGCGCTGTGCCGCCTGCACGCGCTCGCGCAGCCCGGCGCCGCGCGCGACCGCCTGGCGCTGGCGCTGCGCGACAACCTGGCCGACCTGCTGCGCCTCGCCGACCTCAGCGACGCCAAGGTACCCGCGCGGCACGTGCGGCACGTGCGGCACGTGCGGCGCTGTGCCGCCTGCACGCGCTCGCGCAGCCCGGCGCCGCGCGCGACCGCCTGGCGCTGGCGCTGCGCGACAACCTGGCCGACCTGCTGCGCCTCGCCGACCTCAGCGACGCCAAGGTACCCGCGCGGCACGTGCGGCACGTGCGGCACGTGCGGCACGTGCGGCGCTGTGCCGCCTGCACGCGCTCGCGCAGCCCGGCGCCGCGCGCGACCGCCTGGCGCTGGCGCTGCGCGACAACCTGGCCGACCTGCTGCGCCTCGCCGACCTCAGCGACGCCAAGGTACCCGCGCGGCACGTGCGGCACGTGCGGCACGTGCGGCGCTGTGCCGCCTGCACGCGCTCGCGCAGCCCGGCGCCGCGCGCGACCGCCTGGCGCTGGCGCTGCGCGACAACCTGGCCGACCTGCTGCGCCTCGCCGACCTCAGCGACGCCAAGGTACCCGCGCGGCACGTGCGGCACGTGCGGCGCTGTGCCGCCTGCACGCGCTCGCGCAGCCCGGCGCCGCGCGCGACCGCCTGGCGCTGGCGCTGCGCGACAACCTGGCCGACCTGCTGCGCCTCGCCGACCTCAGCGACGCCAAGGTACCCGCGCGGCACGTGCGGCACGTGCGGCACGTGCGGCACGTGCGGCGCTGTGCCGCGTGCACGCGCTCGCGCAGCCCGGCGCCGCGCGCGACCGCCTGGCGCTGGCGCTGCGCGACAACCTGGCCGACCTGCTGCGCCTCGCCGACCTCAGCGACGCCAAGGTACCCGCGCGGCACGTGCGGCACGTGCGGCACGTGCGGCGCTGTGCCGCCTGCACGCGCTCGCGCAGCCCGGCGCCGCGCGCGACCGCCTGGCGCTGGCGCTGCGCGACAACCTGGCCGACCTGCTGCGCCTCGCCGACCTCAGCGACGCCAAGGTACCCGCGCGGCACGTGCGGCACGTGCGGCACGTGCGGCGCTGTGCCGCCTGCACGCGCTCGCGCAGCCCGGCGCCGCGCGCGACCGCCTGGCGCTGGCGCTGCGCGACAACCTGGCCGACCTGCTGCGCCTCGCCGACCTCAGCGACGCCAAGGTACCCGCGCGGCACGTGCGGCACGTGCGGCACGTGCGGCGCTGTGCCGCCTGCACGCGCTCACGCAGCCCGGCGCCGCGCGCGACCGCCTGGCGCTGGCGCTGCGCGACAACCTGGCCGACCTGCTGCGCCTCGCCGACCTCAGCGACGCCAAGGTACCCGCGCGGCACGTGCGGCACGTGCGGCACGTGCGGCGCTGTGCCGCCTGCACGCGCTCGCGCAGCCCGGCGCCGCGCGCGACCGCCTGGCGCTGGCGCTGCGCGACAACCTGGCCGACCTGCTGCGCCTCGCCGACCTCAGCGACGCCAAGGTACCCGCGCGGCACGTGCGGCACGTGCGGCACGTGCGGCGCTGTGCCGCCTGCACGCGCTCGCGCAGCCCGGCGCCGCGCGCGACCGCCTGGCGCTGGCGCTGCGCGACAACCTGGCCGACCTGCTGCGCCTCGCCGACCTCAGCGACGCCAAGGTACCCGCGCGGCACGTGCGGCACGTGCGGCACGTGCGGCACGTGCGGCGCTGTGCCGCCTGCACGCGCTCGCGCAGCCCGGCGCCGCGCGCGACCGCCTGGCGCTGGCGCTGCGCGACAACCTGGCCGACCTGCTGCGCCTCGCCGACCTCAGCGACGCCAAGGTACCCGCGCGGCACGTGCGGCACGTGCGGCACGTGCGGCACGTGCGGCGCTGTGCCGCCTGCACGCGCTCGCGCAGCCCGGCGCCGCGCGCGACCGCCTGGCGCTGGCGCTGCGCGACAACCTGGCCGACCTGCTGCGCCTCGCCGACCTCAGCGACGCCAAGGTACCCGCGCGGCACGTGCGGCACGTGCGGCACGTGCGGCGCTGTGCCGCGTGCACGCGCTCGCGCAGCCCGGCGCCGCGCGCGACCGCCTGGCGCTGGCGCTGCGCGACAACCTGGCCGACCTGCTGCGCCTCGCCGACCTCAGCGACGCCAAGGTACCCGCGCGGCACGTGCGGCACGTGCGGCACGTGCGGCGCTGTGCCGCCTGCACGCGCTCGCGCAGCCCGGCGCCGCGCGCGACCGCCTGGCGCTGGCGCTGCGCGACAACCTGGCCGACCTGCTGCGCCTCGCCGACCTCAGCGACGCCAAGGTACCCGCGCGGCACGTGCGGCACGTGCGGCACGTGCGGCGCTGTGCCGCCTGCACGCGCTCGCGCAGCCCGGCGCCGCGCGCGACCGCCTGGCGCTGGCGCTGCGCGACAACCTGGCCGACCTGCTGCGCCTCGCCGACCTCAGCGACGCCAAGGTACCCGCGCGGCACGTGCGGCACGTGCGGCGCTGTGCCGCCTGCACGCGCTCGCGCAGCCCGGCGCCGCGCGCGACCGCCTGGCGCTGGCGCTGCGCGACAACCTGGCCGACCTGCTGCGCCTCGCCGACCTCAGCGACGCCAAGGTACCCGCGCAGGCGCAGCAGGTCGGCCAGGTTGTCGCGCAGCGCCAGCGCCAGGCGGTCGCGCGCGGCGCCGGGCTGCGCGAGCGCGTGCACGCGGCACAGCGCCGCACGTGCCGCACGTGCCGCACGTGCCGCGCGGGTACCTTGGCGTCGCTGAGGTCGGCGAGGCGCAGCAGGTCGGCCAGGTTGTCGCGCAGCGCCAGCGCCAGGCGGTCGCGCGCGGCGCCGGGCTGCGCGAGCGCGTGCAGGCGGCACAGCGCCGCACGTGCCGCACGTGCCGCACGTGCCGCACGTGCCGCGCGGGTACCTTGGCGTCGCTGAGGTCGGCGAGGCGCAGCAGGTCGGCCAGGTTGTCGCGCAGCGCCAGCGCCAGGCGGTCGCGCGCGGCGCCGGGCTGCGCGAGCGCGTGCAGGCGGCACAGCGCCGCACGTGCCGCACGTGCCGCACGTGCCGCGCGGGTACCTTGGCGTCGCTGAGGTCGGCGAGGCGCAGCAGGTCGGCCAGGTTGTCGCGCAGCGCCAGCGCCAGGCGGTCGCGCGCGGCGCCGGGCTGCGCGAGCGCGTGCAGGCGGCACAGCGCCGCACGTGCCGCACGTGCCGCACGTGCCGCGCGGGTACCTTGGCGTCGCTGAGGTCGGCGAGGCGCAGCAGGTCGGCCAGGTTGTCGCGCAGCGCCAGCGCCAGGCGGTCGCGCGCGGCGCCGGGCTGCGCGAGCGCGTGCAGGCGGCACAGCGCCGCACGTGCCGCACGTGCCGCACGTGCCGCGCGGGTACCTTGGCGTCGCTGAGGTCGGCGAGGCGCAGCAGGTCGGCCAGGTTGTCGCGCAGCGCCAGCGCCAGGCGGTCGCGCGCGGCGCCGGGCTGCGCGAGCGCGTGCAGGCGGCACAGCGCCGCACGTGCCGCACGTGCCGCACGTGCCGCGCGGGTACCTTGGCGTCGCTGAGGTCGGCGAGGCGCAGCAGGTCGGCCAGGTTGTCGCGCAGCGCCAGCGCCAGGCGGTCGCGCGCGGCGCCGGGCTGCGCGAGCGCGTGCAGGCGGCACAGCGCCGCACGTGCCGCACGCGCGGCACGTGCGCCGGTGCAGGCGCTGTGCCGGTAGTGTATAATAGCAAGAGCATGGCGCGACAATCTCGCTGAACTACTGCGCCTGGCTGACCTTGGCTACGCCAAGGTTAACGCGACACTCACCTATAAAGGCTGATTTCCACAGGGTCAGGTCACTGACTTCAAATTTCAGACAAATCATACTGTCGATACTGACATGGTGTAAATTTATTTTGACACACAGACACAATGCACAACCAACATTTGTCAATTAATTCATTTATTTCATTCTTTACAATCATTACATTAGTCTGATTAATTTTATTCGTTACATTCATGTCGTTCTTTACACTCATTTCATTCATTATGGGTCATAACAATGCCCGGAAATGAAGTGATCGCTACCATGCTATTTCTAATATGTTTTGTGTTTTTAAATATTTTATGACTTTAATGATTGTAATCTGTTCTTTTTCAAAAAAAATCCCATTGTATTTCTTACTGGTTATTCCTAAACCGTAGGTATTTTTCCGAACTAGTAATAAATCAAATAACATATTAGTTACTTTCTATTCTCTCTATCTCTATTTCACTCATTTCATTCACTACAACATTCAAAAGCACACTGATAATTGACCCCCATCCCTCATAAAAACATTGTTTTCATCGTGGGAACGATTTACCTCAATCATCACATTAGACAAGCGGATTTTGTATAATACATTACGTTATGTCAGAACTATGCTGCAGTTATATTATACTTCTAACACGAATAACTCAACTCGACCGGGTTAGGACCACACTCTCATATCATACCAGCCGTGAAATAACAACGCAATGCTACTGTTTTACTATGGTGAGTGTACGAGCATGAAATACAACGAACAATTGTCAAGTCATCATTTCACAATTTGTATTTTAAAATGAGTTCGCTTGTAGCCATCAAGAGCGCTACGCGTACTCATTATCAGTAGTTCTAACCTTTATAATTTGTAAATTTATCCAAAATATAGTTTATCAGACTTATCAAGCGTTATCAGTTTATCATCCCTTAGGGTCGGTACAACCCCAAACAGTGAGTATATACACTGCCGGCCAAAAGTTTTAGACCACACTTAAACAACATAATTATCTATAAATTGTAACGAAATCCCATAAGATAAATAAAAGAAATTTACACCTGCATATTCTATTGTTAATATCGAATATCTAAAGAAGTCATTCTTTTATTTACTTTCAAGTTATTGGAAAATAAACATGTATTTTTAGTAGAAAACATGAGATATTCATCGTATCTCTCTGTATAGGTGATGCATTACGGCGTATGGCACTGCTTCACGATGAAGCACTGGGGCCGCGCGATCAAACTGCTCAACAAGATCCAGGAGGAGAGACCCTCCAAAGAGGTCGAGGAGAGATTAGTTGAAGCCTACCGCCAGTTGGGATGGAACTTCCTGGCGGACTTCACCACTTCAGCCTTGCCCATCAAGTATCCGGCCACGTACAGACCTTTCTAAATAAGAACTACCATGCTCTTACTTCCATATTTAAATAGTCTAATAAAATACCATTTTTAAGAAATCAACTCTTCTGACTTTCTTTACATTGTCGATTATATTTAAATTGTAATTTTCGTTTTGTATATTTACTTTCATAGGTTATTATTTCTTTTCAATGAAATATGTTAGGGATACAATGTTGTGAAAAAATGTGTTATTATTAAGTTACAATAAGAATCAGTTAAAATGCAATCTTATTGTACTATGTTTTAAAGTTCTATTTTGTTTCACCTCGAAACTAATAACTGTCGCAGTAATAGCTGTGATTACATTACTCGTATATCCATGGTTTCACTCCCATGGTATGAGAGTCCGAATAAGTTTTTGACGGCTGTTGCTTTCATGTTACAGATACTTCTATATAACAAATGTATGTAACCTCATTAAACGAATTTATTTTTCTCACATTTATTGTCAAGTGACGCTGGCCTAGTATAATAACACCTGAAATATTTTCCAAGTAACATTACGAATGAATCCTTCGTGTCTGTTAAATAACATTTTATGTGAATTTTATATTTGATGACATTTATTACAAATACAATCTATTAGACCTTATTTTAATATACATTGAATTGCAATTCGCTTGTTACGTCTATTAAGTACATTTTCTGTGACGATGTAAACTGTAAAATTATAAATTCCTTTCAATCATTTATTACTTTAAATTATGAAATTTGTACTTATTTTAAAGTTAAAATGATGTCTTTAAATAGGTAGCATTTAATAAATAATTGAACATAGAAACCGTTTAGAGATTCAAAAAGTCGATCCCTCGGGCGAATACAAACAAGAGGACTCAAACACTATAATATACAGGTTGGTCTCGGGTTATATACATTAAATAACACGTCTAACTTTATACAGCGTGTTTTTATTGTACACGAAAATCAATTGAGTATATATTTATTAGTTTAAGCAATTAATATTTAACTAATTTTTACACATGATGCAGATAAAGAACTTATCAGCAGATAAAGTTCACCAAATTGGGTCTATAGCAAAGATCGGGCGGTCTTGAAGGTTTTAAAATAGGTTTAAAAATTTTGTTATTTTTTCAAATTTATTTTGTTTTTTTTTTTTTTAATTTGACTAAGTAAAAATTTACAAATTTTGAAATACATTAAGAAACTAGTCACGACCGAGTCCTCATTTATTCTATGATATTGATAAGACTTCTCATTCTGTATATGTATTAATCTTTAAATATAAAAATTACGTGTCACGTTGTTTGTCCGCGATGAACTTCCTAAACTAATGAACTGATTGCAATGAAATTTTGCACACTGTGTGCATTTTGGTCCAACTTGAGAGATAGGATAGTTTTTATCCCGATAAATGATCCTCAAAATTTTTTATTGTGAATTTAAGGATTTTTCGTCGTCGGAAAGGGCAGAACACCGTCTGCCTGGCGATCTAGTTAGTATAATATAGAGAATTACCGATCTTTGCAAATATATCTCATTATTGAACTTCAACAGTTAGCTGGAAGATCTGTAATAATTACTTTATGTACTTAGAATATTCTTATCCTTTAACTTTACAACCTATCAAAAGTCTACTGCTGAACGCGCTGAAAGCGGGTTGACAACCTCATTTTTCATTCAGCTGTTATCATGAAGACGCCGCTGTCAAACTCCTGGCTCAGTTTACGACTCTCACGACACTGGTGGGATGATATCGGGTAGTAAATATTCTTACACCGCCGGTTACCGGTATTATCGATAGATGCTTATTAGTAAATCGCGTATTTAAATATCGGATTACGGCAATATGGTGGTTGTCGGTCCTCTTGTTTGTTATCTGTCAGATATCTGACTTTGTAGCTAGTTCAATGTTTTAAGTAGACCGGGTGAAGGCAATTGTACAGATGAGTATTTAAGGGTGCGTATAGATCAAGTAACATGTTGTATAACTTTTGTTTTATAACACGTCCACATTATGTAACATTGTTTTTCAACATTGCAACATATAACAATACTGTATACTTTAGAATAACATTGCAATATAACAATGTTATATGACATTGTCGTTTATCGTTCTGCAGTCCGAGTTATATAACATTTGTGCCACGTTATATAACACATTTCATAACATTCAGCCTCCACATTACTGAAACATGTTATATAACGTTTTATAACCTGTTATGTTATATAATGTGTACGAACCGTAACATTTTCACCGTGTTTAATATTATATTGTATTGTGTTTTAAATAGTTTTTTTAAGAGCAAACATTACGTTCTTGAACACAAGTTCACTAATACGTTAAAAAAGGTAATTTTACATACTATACTTTTAAGCTTGCCTGTTACGAATCCACTTATGTATTCGATTTATCTGATCTTGTATAATTGTCTTCGCTTAAGGCTGCAGTTTTCGTATTATGTATGGAAGCTGTTCTCGAAGCAGCTTTGTTAAGTACACTCTACTGTTGTTGTTTTAGTGATCGTATCTTTTTGCTCTATGTTATTTAAAAAAAAATTGTACAAAATTTCAATCTTCAAAACAATTGTACAAAATCATACATAAGCTTGAGGATAGTCTTCTATAAGTGCTTTCACTAATCTAAGATAAGAATTGTCAACGTAAAATATTTTCTATGTATGAAATTATGTTGTTTCATTATCTGCCTTTGCTTTGCGTAGAAGTGTAAAGACTGTAAACAGTTTTCAGAAACAATCTCCAAATAGAGAACCGGAAACCCTTTTTACTGGAAACGAGGCATTCCATCTCAGTCCTCACGGGTGACATCGCATCTGCATTTTGATTCGTAATCGAGATCAGATGTAGCTGTCTATGGGTCAAAGCAATCACTTACCATCAGGTGGACTGTGTGCTTGTTTGTCAGCCTTATCCTATAAAAAACATTTGAGTTTCGACCATGGTCTAGGCTGGTCTAGACCGATCTAGACTGGTCTAGTCTCAAAGTTTATATTACATAGATTATGACATTGTCAAGTTTGAGTTTAAGCTCGAGATTGTCTCTGAATGCCGCACTAAGTGCCTGTACACGTTACACCGACTTGTATCCAAACGTTTTATCATATTAAAGCAATACTATAATGATGTTCAACAGAAGATTGAATGGATCTTGTAGAAACGTTAGAGGATATCGTGTCTGCAAAAATTTCGATGTATATATGTCCATTGTTGTCAAGCTGTGCCCGAATGACCGAGCAAGATAACCGATATTATATTTACTCTAAATTTAGCGAGAAATACAGAAGTGCAGTTGTTATCTTCAGAATGATTCATCAAATTAGAAGAACAGCCAGTATCTGTAGCTCCCTTGGACCAGGGGTAAATTGTTCGTTTCCTTCTTTGCCGCAATGGTAGAGCCAAGCTGCAGCTACATTGTGGTTGTAACACGAATGGGTTGGCTTGATCGGGCTACCTTAAAATAGCAGCTTAACGCTGCTGTGTTTGGTATGGTAAGTGTAGAGAACCGGAGACCCTTTTTACTGGAAACGAGGCCTTCCATCTTAAAAAAATCTACACCTAAAGTATTTGAATGATTTTCCCTTTAAACATGTATATATTGTGTTATAATTGTATTTGCGAATGCGTAAATGAAAATAAATAAATAGGCTTCCCCATAGATTGTTTCATAGGAGGTATTTGCCATAGTTGCCACGCTTGGCCTGCGTTTTGCCGTGTACACTTGAAACACTATGATAACTTTTGCGTAGGTATCACCAGAGGCACAATAATTTAAAAGAATGTGTTTGTAAATTTTGTTAGTTGTCCTCTACGTTTCTATAAAATCTTCAATATTTTTTTTTACTAGAGATATGACAGAGTGCTAACGTATTTGCATCGTGTGCTCAAAAAACTAGTTGAATGTGTATTTTTTCTTTTTTTAATCAACATTGTACAATGAATTTCGTTCTTTTAGTTAAGCGTCCGATTGTTAGCGATGACCTCATTAGTGTAATCGATTGCGATGTGTAACGGACGAAAGAATACAGATTAATAATGGGGGATATAGATTAAAATATTTTTCTGCCATGCTTTTTGTCGATTGCTACGATATTAGTCATATAGGGCCCGTTTTGATGGTTGGTAACGTACGCTTTAATGTCCACTGAGCGATGACAGCTGTATCTCTATCTCTTTCTATTTTTTTTAAAATACCCCCTCTACATTAGTAATTTCACCTGTGTCAGAGTAATTTTACGGACAGACTTGGACCAAGGAAGTTCAACTTATGCTAGTACAATTCTTTGTAAAATTATATGACACGATTAAAACTTATCTATGGCTTTAGGAACAATGCTTGCATAAATTGCCTTTGGGAATTTGAAATTGTATCTAGATCAGCATGAAAAGTTGTACTGCAATATCCAGCCCGTCTACCAATCTTGGCGACTAAGACGAATACTCCATACTACAGAACTTCCACCTTACAGGCTAATAAAGAAACAGGTTGTTTACATTAAATTCTTTCAACTTTAGTTTTAAATTTAACGTGTTAAATAATATTTACAATTACTCCGTAAAAGACATTTTGAAGAACTCCCTCTTAACGTCTTTATAGAAGCGGTAGCAATGGAATTAATAATGATAAAATGAAATACTTCCATCGGTGGCCATTGTTGCGTCAATACTTCGGTATACACCCAGACACGTATAGGTAGAAAAGTTAATATGAATTGCTTACATGCTTTTGAAAGGTAATCGTAGATGTAAGAGAATGGAAATTAAACTGCAACTCTCATATTGATCTACAGAATAGAATATTTGTTATTCAATACTAGCAATCCGCCCCGGCTCCGCACGCGTGATTTGTGAATCTCTACAACAGTGCCACCTACCGGGTCCAATTGTGAATCTATACTATCTAGGAACCCATTCAAACAAAAAATACCATCAAAATCTGTCCAGCCTTTCTCAAATGATGATGTTTAATACATGCCGCAATTTATTTTTATTTATATAGATATTAGTAATATTTTTACCACTGGTTCGAAAAAAAATCTTCAGTCTTGGGAAGAACCAGGAGGAAACCGAGCGGGTATTTTATGTATTTGGTATAATGTAACGTAACAGGATAGAGGCGAACCAGGTTACGGTCCAACTGGTTATGTACTGCAGCCCATGGACATCTGCAACCAAATTACAGGCTACAAATGCGTTGTTACCCCTGAGGACTAAGGTGGAGTGCTTCAAAGGTAGTAATTATAGTGGCTCATATAGAAAAACATTGGCTTATCCATTTCTAATGTAGTTAATATGAAATATAGCTGATATTTCAGAAAGAAACATTAATCTCTATAGTATTGTAACAAATTAACTTCCCCCACTATGAAATCAAATCTGTCAAATATTTCACATCATGTGGTGCGTGGCGCCGCCCTGTTAGCAGAGAAAGTCGTGGATGCCCTCATTCTACTGTAGTTTGATTCATAGTCGAGTAATTTTTGTTTATGGGCTACAGCTTCCCATTACTATCAAATGGACAATGTGCTCGTTTGTCATGCTTTTATTTACAATAGTTTAAAACAAAATAGAATCAAAGGCTTTAAAACTTTTAACGTAATAGTGCATTATTATAGTAACGATAACTTTATTTCTATTAGAATCAGGAAAAAATGAATCCTTATTCCATCCAACAGAAGTTGTAGTTTAATTTCCTTTCGCATCTAGCAAGTGGGAGTGTGTGTGGGCCGAACGTCCGTTCGCATAGTTGTGGTTTGCAGCGCTTCGTGATCATGATTACATGTTTTAATGGTTGTTAATTAAGATGAAGGAATAAAAATAATTTGACACGAAACAGGACTTTAATTTATATTTCACTTCACAACAATAGGAAAATACTGTGATATATTTGTCATAATTAAAAATTTTGTACAACTGACTTCAATATAAAGTATTAAGAATAACTCAAAAACCATTAGTCAGACCTTAATTTACCACATGAGAAGCACCAGTTTTTAAAACAAAAAAAGAATTATCGAAATCGGTTCACCCAGCATAAAGTTATGAGGTAACACATAAAAAAAGAAAAACATTCGAATTGAGTACCTCCTCATTTTTGAAGTCGATGGAAAAAGCAAATCAAGCAGACACAAGGTTTCGTACAAAGGTTTACTAAAGTTTGTTTTACGTGGTAGAGCCATGCTGCAGCTATATTATGGATGTAGCACGAATGGGTCGGCTCGACCGTGGAAGGAACACGCTCTCACAGAATACCAGCGTAAAACAGCAGCTTAACGCTGCTGTATTTCGTATGGTGAGTGTAGAGAACCGGAGACCCTTTTTACTGGAAACGAGGCATTCCATCTTAGTCCTCACGGATGACAACGCATCTGCATTTTGATTCTTAATCGAAGATAGATGTAGATGTCTATGGGCCACAGCAACCACTTACCATGTGGACTGTGTGCTCGTTTGTCACCCTTATTCTATAAAAAAAAAGTAAGTAAATAGTGTTGGCGTAAGTGTCCATTTTGTTTCATGGTTGTGTAGAAGACTTGGGAAAATGCCAGATAAGGTGTGGTTTTCGATATATGCCGGTGTAACCATCTCGTGTTTATCTAATATTTAAAAGAAATATATTTGTTTGTTCGTCTTTTATGCCTTCCTATAACTTTCATCCGATTCAAATTATTCTGAGAATTAGCTTCCCTTTTGAAATTCCCCTCTTACCTATGCACCGTGGACTTAGCCAAACGGCGCTCAAGGGCCAGCCCGATATGACGCCCTTATTGTTTATTACTATTATTTATTCTGTGATATTATTAAAAAAATTACTTGCGCTCGCTAATCCGATCAAAGCTTATTCCGATAAATTGACGGGAAATCGCAGCGAACCAATAAAAGCGACACAAATCCTACGTCAAAGACGCCTGGCGGGATTATTATTTAACTAAAAAGCCTACCTTCAGTAGCAAGTAAGCTTTTTAGTTAGATAATAATAGGCCTTTCCTATCCCTGGCCATTTAAAATCAAAATAATTTTTGTTTGGCTAAGATTTCTAATTTAAATTTTTTTTTTATACAATAAGGGTGACAAACGAGCACACAGTCCACCTGATGGTAAGTCGTTGTTGTGGCCCATAGACATCTACATCTATCTTCGTTTGCGAATCAAAATGCAGATGCGTTGTCAGCCGTGAGGACTAAGATAGAAGGCCTCTTTTGCAGTAAAAAGGGTTTCCGGTTCTCTACACTCACCATACGAAACGCAGCAGCATTAAGCTGCTATTTTACACTGGTATTCTGTGAGTGCGTTTTATTAATTGTATTTTAAAAACATGGAATTCTCTTTTCAAAATGTGTCATTTGTTTATTGATTAGCGTTATGTTTTCATCGCATTTGCATATTTTTCGACATCATGGATACGTTAAAAACTCGAGTTATTATGGAATATGAGTACCGTCGTGGCAGCAACGCGGCACAAGCGACACGCAACATCAACGACGTTTACGGAGTATATACTGTAAACTCGCGCACCATCTGTTATTGGTTTGCCCGCTTCCGTTCTGGAAATTTCGACCTGAAAAATGAACCCCGTGGTCGTCAAAGAACTGCTGAATTAGCAGCAGCTTACGAACTTAGCATCAAAACCATATTGGTCCATTTGCGTCAAATTGGCAAGGAAAAA